TGGCATAAGTAAAAGTATGACAATAATAGAACAAAAGATAGGAAAGAAAAAGTGAAAATATACTGTTATAGGGCTCTGACACTATATAAAAAAGTAGTATTAGATTGCTTGAATACAGACTGGAATTAAAGATGCATAATGTAAATCACAGAGAAATAAGTATAACTTTTTAAAGAAGCAAAATAAATATGAGTAGTAAAGAGCAAATCAAGAAAAAATGAGCTAAAAAATAGAGACCATATAGCAGATGGGTTAAATAGAAAGTAAGATGGCAGATTTACATCAATGATTACATTAAACATAAATGGTGTAAACAACTGAACTAAAAAGCCAGACTGTCAGGATGGATTTAAAAAGTGAGTTGTCTACAGCAAACCCACTTTAAATATAAAGGCATAAATTCAAAGTAAAAGGATGTATCATGCAAAACCTAATCAAAAGAAAAGTGTAGTGGGAATATTAATTTCAGATAAAGTAGACTGCAGAAGAAATACTACTTAGATAAAAAGGAATATTATATAAGACAAAGGAGTATATTCAAGAAGACATACAACCCTAAATATATATGCACCTAACAACAGAGGTTCAAAATACATGAAGCAAAACTTGTTAGAACAAAAAGGAAAAATAAACATGCAATTACATTTGGAGACTTAAACTTTTCCTAGGTGATCAACAAGTAGGTAGAATCCCCATAAAGAAACAGACAACCTAATAAGCACCATCAATTAATTTGACATGATAATTATAGCATATTTAATATAAAATATTGAAATTAACATTTAATATGGAATAAAGAACTTATAGAATACTCTACCCAAAAGCACAATCCACAATATTTGGAAGTACACATAGAACATTTACCAAGTCTAACCATATTCTACCATAAAAAAATATTTCAAAGAGTTTAAAAGAAATTATATATTCTATATTACTCACTTATAACAAAATTAAACATAAAAATCAATTACTGAAAGAATTAGGCAAAATCATCAAATATTTGGAATGTAAATAATATACTTCTATTCTAAATAACCCGTAAGTCAAAGCAAAAGTCACATAAGAACTTAGAAAATCCTATATAACCCTATATAATAAAAGCCTAATATGCAAATTGTCCTCTCAACAGAGAGTTCAACCGGGAGCTCAACTGCTCACTATGACGTGCGCTGACCACCAGGGGGTGGCGCAGAACATGGCAGGCATAGGCAACGCGATGCTGGCAGCAGGTGGCAGTGGAGGCACTCCCGACCCCAATGGGCCTCGACAAGAGCAGGACGGTGGTGGGATGGTAGAGCAGGTGAGCGGGCGGCACCAGGCCAAGGCAGATGCAAGTGGGGGCCCAATTGCCCCGCCGATCGCCCCACAGACGGCAACCAGCGGCAACGGCAGGGGGCAGGGCCACTGCCCTGCTCCCAGGTGCTGAGGGAGCCGGACAGGGGGCCTGGCCCCAACTGATCACTCTGCAGACAGCGACCAGCAGCCGGCAGGCCCTGATTGCCTGATCGGGGCCAGGCCCTGGGCTGGGATGGAGTACGGGGGTTGGGTGGTGGTGACCAACCTCCCGCGGCACCTGGCCAGGGGGCTGTGACCTCTTGCCGGCTACCTGGGGACAGGGGTGACAGGGACAGAGGTGCAATGAGAATGCAAGGTGTCCACCGAGCTTGCTCTCACTCCCCCTACTATCCTCCCCCAGGACGCCAGGGCTCGCGTGCCAGGGAAGCCCCCGTACTCAGGTGCCGGGTGCCCGCGAGGAGCCTGTCACACACCCGCACGGCTTCTTCCGGGTGAGCCGGCTGCAGCCGCCAGGACTGCAGGGGCTCGTAGGGCTCCCCGTGGGTTCGCGCAGGAGCTGGTAGACAAGGCCAACCGGGAGAGAGCACACTGCTCACCCGGCTTCCATGTGGCACCGCTGGGCGACCCAGAGGCCCACGTTGCGCCCTGGCCTGCGGCGTCCGGCTGCACTCACTGCATCTCTACATGGGGACTCAGGCTCGTGACTCAGGCGGAGAGGGGCGCATGGGGGTCCGGGGGCCCAGTTGCTGCCCAGGGCCCAGAAGTCAGCTGGGACCTGCCCTTCCATGCCAGATGCTCACGTTTCAATCGCCGGCTAGGTCTAGGGACTGCACTGGTGCATGGATTTCATGCACCAGGCCTCTAGTATCAACATAGCAAAATTTATGAGAATATTTAAAGCAGTGCTGAGAAGGAAAAGAAGGTCAATGGCCTAAGCTTATACCTTAAGAAATTAGAATAGAGATTTAAACCCAAAGCATACAAAAAGAAATAGTAAAGAGCAGAAATCAATTAAATTAAAAATGTATTTTAAATAACAATAAAAATAAAAAAATTGGATCTTCGGAAAAACAAAACATTTTTGATAAACCAGAAAACCTACTAATAAAGACAAAAGCGAGGACACACTGTCAATATCAGTAATGTAAGAAAGGACATCACTACAGATGCTACAGACATTAAAAGGGCAATAAAGAAACATTATGGCAATGAATAGATGAAACAGGTACATTCCTTGAAAGATACCAACTATTAAAGCTCACACATAGTGAGTAAAGGTCACTCACATCGTCAAAGACTGGAAGCTTTCAAAAACAGATAACCCTAATCATCCTATACCTATTAAAGCAAGTAAGTTTATCCTTTAAAACCATTAAAGAAAACTCTAGACCCAGATGGGTGGGTGGCTTACAAACTCTAGTGAACATTTATGAAACAAGTATTAAGCCTATCCAAAATTTTTCAGAAAATACAAGAAGAAACACTATATAAGGCCAGCATCATTTTGATACCAAAAAATTATGAAAAAGCATCTTTCATGAAGATACAAAAAAGTATTCAACAAAATATTAGCAAATTAAATCCACTAATATATGAAAATGATAATACATCATGTCCAAGGGAGGTACACCTAGAAAATGCAAGGTTGATTCAACATTTGAAAACAAATCAATGTAATTCATCTTATTAACAGACCAAAGAAGATAAATCATATGATCACCTCAATAAATATAGCAAGAAAGTTTGAGCGAACTCAATGACCACTCATAATAAAAACTCAGCAATCTAGGAACAGAATGGGAACATCCTTAACTTGATAAAAGACCTATTACACTTACTGTAACTATATATAGTTGATTGGTTAAAGGCCCTTTATACTTAAAGAACAAAAGTTTGCTTCTTAACATCAGGAACAAGACAAAATATCTGCTCTCACCACTCGTTTAATATCATGCTGGAAATCCTAGCCAATGAAATAAGGGAGGAAAAAGAAAGTAGGTTGTACACACAAAGTGAAAACAAAGAAATAAAACTGTTCTTTATTTGTAAATGACATCATTATTTACATAGAAAAATGCCAAAGAAACAACAAAAAAAACCTTACTAGATTTAAGTGAATTTAGCAAAGTTGCCATATTCAAGATATACAAAAAACAACTGTATGTCTATATACTATCAATGAACAACTGCATACTAAATTTTAACTGGTATCAGAAGTAATGAAATACCTGGGTATAAATCTTAACAAAAATGAGATTTTTTTTTCAGTATACACCTGTATGCTGAAATTACAAAATGCTGATAAAAGAAATCAAACAAGGTTTAAATAAATGAAGATATCCTGTGTTCATTAATTGGAAGACTCAATATTGAGATGTCAATTCTTAATTGGTGAATATATTCAAGACAATCTAAATGAAAATCTCCTCGGCACTTTTTGTAGAAATCCTATCACTTCTAAAAAAAATTATCGAAAAGCAAAAGAACTAAAATGGCCAAAATGATTTTGAAAAAGAATGAAGTTGGAGACTCATTATCTGATTTCAAGACTTATTAAAAAGCAACAATAACCATAACAATGTGGTGCTTAAAGATTTTTTAATTTACAAGTTGAGTCTAAAGTTCTTCTGGAGAAGAAATGCATAAAAACAGTAATGAATAACTTTGGGGGGGAAATGAGGAAGAAATGGTTATAAAAATTTAAAGTATGCATACTCTTTAACCCAGCAATTCCATTTCTAGGAATCCATGCTCCAGAAATAATCACATACTGACAAAGGAAGTTTTCTGAAGAGTTGACTTTGAAGGTAGAACTATAGGAAGGTGTAGAACAATCTTACATTCTCCAGTACTGTTTTTAAAATTTACAAAGATTTAAAGTTTGTAATTAAAAATATCAATACATTTAAAAGTTGGCTTTAAAGAAAGCATTTTGTGATGGCAAAAAGAAACTAATTTAAATGTCTTTCAGTAAGAGATATCGTTAAATAAATTCTAGCCTATTCGAACTAATGAAATATCACTTAACCTTTAAAAAAAGTATTAGGGAGACCTATATGTAACAAGTAAAGATGTCCAAGATATATAATTAAGTAAAGAACGCAAGTGATATATCAACGTGTTTGGTATACCATCCTCCCAAACAACTTTATGTGTATGCATATGTTTAAAAGTGCACTTAGAAAGATGAACGTAATTTGTTAACTCTCCACAGTAAAACGGGACTGAGGAATGAAACGTTCACATTTCACCTACTCATATTTTTCTATATTGCTGAATTTTACGTCGTTTGCATGTCTGCTGTTAATTTTAAAAATTAAAGGTATTGCATATAAAAAGACACGAGTTTCATAAGGCAATTGAAAACTGAAAAAAAATAGCTCAAACGTTTATTTCTTTAATCTTCATGCTTATTTACACTCTTCAAATGGTCTGTAGTCTTCAGCAGAGGTGACTGCCATTTTAAAAAATTTAACTGATCCAATAGTTCATGATAAAAAATAACAACATATTAGGCCTTTTGTGATAATCGTGAACTTCACAGAACCAGCAGATTCACAGCAGGGTCGATGAGCATGTCAATAAAAATAAAAACACGATCATGTCTGGAGAGGGGCACCTCCTACACAGATTCTTCTTCCTCGCTGCCACAAAACTCTCTCCTCCCCTTTTCTTTAACTTGGTCTGAGAGGCTTTAAACTCACCATTTTGAATGTGCGCAAAATGATGTGCAGCAGCAATCTCTGGGAGGCCACAGCTGAGGCTGACTGCCAGAGCGGGCCCTGACCTGGCATCGTTAGGGGGAGAAGCACTGAGGAAATGGGGCTCCGATCGGGCCCAGCGCGACTGCGTGCCCGGGCCTCGGGGAGCTCGGGAAAACGCACACACAGCCAGCACAGCGAGGGCGACGGACGGTTCCTCGGGAGAGCGGCCCGCAGGCCTATGGCGTAAGATGGACCAGCTCTACGCGGGGAGACTGCAAGTGGGCAGAGAAGGCGGTGGGGGTGTCAGTGCGGGGAAACTCATTCAGTCGCCCGTGTGGGGAGAAAGGCAGCGGGGTCCTTGGCCGAGGCACCAAGGACAGCAGAAGAAGCCACGGGAAAAGCGGACGGTGGAGACCTCCGAGACCAACCGATGTCATCCGCCGGGACACGAGTGCGGTGCCGGGTCCCGGCTGGACCGGGCCCAGGAGGCGAGGAGGCCTCTAAACAGCTATCAACCCCACCCACCATGGCCGGCGCAGCGGACCAGAAATAGGCCCCGCTCCCTCTCGACAGAAATTAAGAGAGGAAGGAGGTAAAGGCAGCAATTTCCTCGCCCGACCCTCCTATAACCAACATCAGAACAAGCCAGATTTAAAAAAAAAAAAAATCCCCTCACCGAACTGTGCAGCGGCTCCGGAGCGAGAACAGCGCTCGATCCTCCACCCGCCACCACCGCCTTCTTCTCCGCCTCCGACTCCTCCCCCGCCTAACGCGCAGTGGCAGGTGGCGGAGCCCGCGGTGGCGGCGGCGACGGCGGCGGAAGCAGAGGCGGCGGCGGCGAGTCCCGCCCCTCGCGCCGCAGTAGAGGCGGAGGAGGAGGGCACGCAAACCCCGCCCCCCAAACAGCACCGACCAATAGACTTAAAGGACTTCTAGTGGGGTTGGAAAATGCACGTATCCAATCGGAACCTCGGGAGTGGGCTCACGTCAATGGATGGGACGTGGCAGAAAAAGGGGAAAAGGACTTCAGGCGTCTCCGCACCCGGGTCCCCCCTTCTCGGTCCAGGGGACTGCTCAGATTGGCCGGAGAGAGGAAGGACGAGGCCACACTGTTTCCCAGCCCACGCCCGCGTCTGGGCCCGCCTCCTCTCCCTGCGGCACTGCGACGTTTGGGGCGGGGCGAGGCCCCGTCCTGGGCTGGCACTGCGCTGCCTTTTGTGGTTAGGGCTGGGAGAAGAGGGTGGGGTCTCCAGGAAAGGGAAGGGGGTGTGGGGAATTAGGGCAGGACTGGCGCAGCTCGGCTTTCAGAAATTTGTACAGCAGCCACCAAAATGGAGGCATTAAAAGTCAATCCTAATTCGACTGGGAACCTGATTAACAAGGTTAAGTCTCTTGGCATAACGTTCACTCCGTTGCAGTTCAGATAGGAGCGGTACAAGAAAAAAATAGACGGAGAAAGGGCACGTTTGCCCACGCAGAGGCCACGCCCATATACCCTGCAGTCTCCCTCGTTTCTGATTCTGTTGGATCAGGGACAGGTTATAGGAGAGGCCTGCGTTTCCTCTGTAGAGCCTTGGCCCGACCAGAGCCATCCAGTTTGCATCTTGAGGCTGATAGGTTGTCATGCTGGGAAGAAACAGCTCCCATCACATGCAAGTAAAATAAACACGACAGCTGTAGTCCCTAAACACCTTGCTTAATTTAAACTCGGCCAACAGTTTAGTTAATCATGTCAATGATGCTAAATTGTTTCTTCGTTCCGCACGAGTCCTCTTTACATCCTGAACATGTCCGCTTCTCTAATTACAGTCCTGTTCTCTTCCCATCTTATTCCCAACCCCCACCACACCCTCCACACACAAGCCCAGCGTCCAGGATATATTTAGCGCACTTCCTCTACCAAGAATTAAGAGCCCTATTACTTGTGCTGTTCCTGGAAGCTGCACAAATCTCTTCCCAGTGAATCAAAACTATTCCTTTTTTTTTTTTTTTGGTCTTGATGAAAACAAATTAGCCAAAATTTACTATAGAAATTTAAGTTCTGAGAATTTGCTAGACATATTGTGAAACCAAATCTAAATCTCAGTCTATCTCTGTAGTACATTTCTTACGAAGGAACCATTTATCGATAATTATCTGCTTTATATATGTTGCTCTAGAAACTGGCTCTTTTTACATCCCAATCTCTCCCTCTTGAAAAGAGAATTCACACTTTAATCACACTTCCCTAATCTCCCTTTAGGATATTGCATGTTGACCCAATTGGTTATACTAACCTGTTAGTTGGGGAAAGGTTTCCCAAATTTCAATCTTTTTTATACCATATCTGTGTATACTACTTGCAGTATTATTTATTATTTTCTTTAAATAAATGCATTTTTCCATTTCTTTAAGAGGGAAACTTTATAAAAGTATTATAAATGGAAAACCTCCATTAATTATCCTAAATTGAAAGTAAGTGTAAGTGAAAAGAAAACCATGTTTTTAAGTTCTAGCTAGAAACTATTGTCTACTGGAATCTCTGAGCCTAAGGGTAAGTTACCAAACATTAGACATATATTAAAGACCAAGCATGCAAATGGCATTTTTATCATGATGTAATCAAAAGGATAGTAAAATAGAACCAAAATAGGAATCACTTTCTCACCATGTGAGTCATTGTTTTTAAATTCTGAATGCAGGTGCCAATTTAAGTCATCTAAGGCATCAGAACTGATCTCTGTTACTCTCTGGGCAATCTACATACCTCTCTAGGTTCAATTCCAATTTAAATATTGGGAAAGTAATAACATCTACCAATGAGTCATTGTATAGATTAAAGTAACCTAATCAATGTATAGCATACCATCCTTAGCATATAGTAAGTACTAAATACATATTAGCGTATATATTGAATTGTGTGTATAGAGAGATAATATGTATTATTGACTTATATGTATTATTCTTGATTCTGAGGTGAGAAGAACTTCCTAAGGCAATGGGTTGAAGATATCACATTATGTAATGCAGTGGTTCTTAAAGAGTGATCCCCAGACCCACAGCCTCAGCATTACCTGGAAATGTTTTAAATATGCAAATTCTCAGTTATGTTCAACCTCAGGCCTGAATTGGAAACCCTAGGTGTGGGGCCCACCAATCTGTATTTTACCAAGCCTTCCAGTTGACGCTAATGCACATATTATAATATAATGTGTGCAATATAGTAGGAGGAGGATTGGTCAAGGAGTGAGAAGGGCCTGAGTTCTAACCATAGCTTTAGAGTGACATCAGCAAAAATGAAGGCATAAGGACCTCTGGAAATCATTTTCTTCACAAAGCAATGAGAAAACCGGCAAAATCATCAAAATCAACTTTTTCAGAATTCTGGAAATTAACCAAAGGCTTGCAGCAGTCTAGGAAGCATTTATGCAAGAAAACCAGCTGAATCTCAGAAAGAACAGTGAGCTTTGTGATGTTGTGACTTGCTCTAATCCAATTCCTTTGTCTCCAGTTCTGCTCTAGTATTGAAAAACAATAGCCCACAATTATGGTGAAAACCAGCAGCCTGGCAGCCACCAGATGAGGCAGAAATAAACTCTTTCAAGCCTAATTCCAGGAGAATAGTCATTATTTTTCCTATCTAGGGAAAGATTTCACTTGTCAGATTGTCTTCACTTGATTTGATTCAGAGCCAACCCCAGTGCAAAAAGCATTTTCCCTAGAAGCATTTATCAAAAGTAATGAGAAGGAATTGATTAACTTTGCTGCTGCCCTAGACAATGCAAACAGTTGGGGCAATAATAGGTTAACCAAAAAGCTTGAATGAAAAAGCTGGATGATGTCTGCAGGAACTTTGAAAAGCTCCAACATATTCATGGGTATCCAGAAACCCACAAACATGACCAGGGCTGAGCTAAACTGTGCATAAACTCAGGAAAGACCAGAGAAGACCCTAAACATTTACCTTAGGCTGACCTTGAGAAGTTAAGGCTAAGAGAAGTTGGCAATTGCCTGGCTTAATGTTGAAGCCATGCCCCAACATACATACACATTCACACCCTCAACGAACACCGGGTGACATATTGGTTCCAAGAGTTTAAGGAAATCTCTGTCTAATCATTAACTGGGCACTAAATAACCACGCAGAATCTTCCATGGCCACACATGAAGAACACAGACTTTATAGAAGTCCGAAAAGTCATTGAACAAATAAAAAAACAAGTATAACAAACAGCAATAACAAAACTCCCTGGACAGGAGGAAGAATCTGATTTCCAGAATTTTCACATCATATTTTTTAAATGATTGGTTTTCAACAAACCAAAAGTTGGTTCTTCAAAAAGATGAACAAAATTGACAAATCTTTAAAGGTAAAAAAGAGAGAGGAGACTCAAATCCCTAAAATCAGTAATGAAAGAGAAGACATTACTACTAACCTTACAGAAATAAAAAGTTATTATATGGGAAAACTGAGAACATTTGTATCCTAATAGGTTAGAATATCTAAACAAAATGAACAAATTTCTAGGAAGACACAAACCACAACAACAGACTCAAGAAGAAATAGAAAATCTAATTTTAGCCTCGTCATTTATGCACTGAATGACCTTAGGTTAGTTATTTAATTTTCCAGAGCCTTAGTTTCGTGAGATAGAAATAGAGATAATAAAATTATACCTTTGTGAAAACATTTCAGTGAGATGATAAATATAAATATAAATAGTTAAGCCACTGTAACAGATAAAACCCTCAAGTCTCAGTAGCATAATACATTATTTATTATTAAAAGCCCATTCAGCAAGATAGATGGGAAGCTCAGCTTCACCTTCAGGGGCCTGTATCTCCAATGCATGGCATTCACTATAAGACTGAACGTCATTATCCAGCCAGTAGAATAGAGGAAGTAAAAGAATGTGAAAGATTTCTGAGGTTTTTAGTGACCTAACATGGAAAAGGCCTAGTGATTAATGATCATGATCTGCCAGCAGATCACCTTAATTTTAGGCTATGTTAGGACTAGCCTATTTCAGTTTTGTCTTTACTCTTAGGAAGTAGCTCTTATTTCTAGGGTGTGGTTCTAACTCTTAGAATGTCACCCTTCTGGGGTCTCAACTGAAAGCCAAGATATTTACCAAGGTCTCTCTCTCATATGGCAGGACTTAAATTCCTATCTTTGATATCCAGACCATATGCCTGCTGAAATCTCTACTCAGCTCTTCATAATCTCAGTTGCTGTTTTCTGCTGGGTTTCTTTTTTTTTTTTTAATAAATCTTTATTGCTCAGATTATTACAGTTGTTACTCTTTTTCCCCCCATAGCTCCACTCCACCCAGTTCCCACCCCCCCAACCCCCTCCTCCATTGTCCTCGTCCATAGGTGTATGAGTTTTGGCCAGACTCTTCCCGCACCCCCCACACTCCCTTCCCCCTGAGAATTGTCAGTCCACTCCCTTTCTATGCCCCTGATTCGATTCTATTCACCAGTTTATTCTGTTCATCAGATTTTTTATTCCCTTGATTTTTAGATTCACTATTGTTGATAGATATGTATTTGTTGTCACTTTGTTGTTCATAATTTTTATCTTTACCTTTTTCTTCTTCTTCCTCTTCTTAGAGAATACCCTTCAGCATTTCATATAATACTGGTTTAGCAGTGATGAACTCCTTTAGCTTTTTCTTATCTGTGAAGCTTTTTATCTGACCTTCAATTCTAAATGATAGCTTTGCTGGGTAGAGTAATCTTGGTTGTAGGTTCTTGCTATTCATCACTTTGAATATTTCTTGCCACTTCCTTCTGGCCTGCATAGTTTCTGTTGAGAAATCAGCTAACAATC